CCCCCCCCCCCCCTCCTTTAAAACAAAACCCACTATTAAAATCCTCACAAAATAACCTTTCAAACGGGGAGTTAAGTGGTGTCAAAACATTACTCAAACCGAAACAAACATATATTTATACTCACGCCTTGGCCAAACATTATGTACTAAACTTTTTGTCATTTTTCAAAAGGCTGTATGAGTAAAATACTCTTCGTATTCAAGCGTTTTCGTGTAGAAAGCTTTGTGTGAATATGTCGAGTAGAAATATTTATTTCGAATACTTCAAAATATCGGGTTCTACTTGCACGCGCGTGTATTGCACAATATTTGGCCAAAAAGGAGCTCCTGTAGCCGGGATGACGTCAAGCGTGTATAGGTGCACTTTGACCTGTACAATCGATTTCTGGCATTTGCAGTGTTGTACGATACAAACGTCGCATTATTTTGACATTTTTCAATTGTATTTCCGGTTGGGATTATCTCACAGTCAGACCAGAAACATAGGCGTACCGGGCGGGGGAACGGGGGGGCGGGGGGGGCGGCCGCCCCCCAGTTTTTTGGGCAGTCGGGCAATATTCGATTAACAGTCGGGCAATTTTGGGTTGTTATAAAAAAAAATCGGACAAATTCTGTAATTTTTTTCAAAAATTTAGTCAATTTTGGCGCAAATGTATTTTTTGGGAAAATTAATGTGATTCTGCGAAAAATTTGGTCCGTCCGGAAAATTTTTTTGACCCCTAAAATGGTACACAGACCGAAATTTTTTTGGCGACGGGGGGGGGTCGCCAAAAAAAATTTTCCGGGAAAAATTTTTTGGTACTAGTCGGGCAAAATCACGAAAAGTCGGGCAATTTTCTTTCCGCCCCCCTAATTTTTTCCTTCCGGTACGCCCATGACCAGAAATGGAAGTATGGTAATAAAAGATTCAAATTTGATGATACAATATCGAAAATAACGCTCTAAATAGTGTTTTTGATAGCAATTCGAACAAGACTTTTACAAAGAAGATACGTCCGAAGCGGCCGAAGTTATGTTCGGCGAAATATACGGCTAGTCTACATAGTTGTTCAGACAATTGACCATTTGCGTCATAGACTAAATTTTGATCTCAACAAAAATTTCATTACAGCTTGAAAGAGCATCATCATTCCCTTATTGCCCGACAAAGACACTACAAAGTCGAAGACAGCGCGAGCGATACAATGAAATATAAACTCGATATATATAAGAACTGCTAAGTGGTAATTATGCATTTATAAGAACAGAGTAAAGACCAGACATAAAAAATGCGGTGCTTTACAAATGAAACTTTTCTGCGTTTCCGCCTACAAGCTGTGCTACAAGTAAAGGTTAAATTTTATAGTAGCCTACGCTATATTCCTCCTATAAGTCGGCAGTTGTTCCATACGCTTGGTTAAAAATTCGCTTTAAAACCTTCAAGATAAATTATTGTCGGATCAAAATACTAATGAAGAGAAAGGTGAGATGAATCCATTGGTATAATTATGGCCAAAAAAGAGAACACCAACGATACGAAAGTTATCAAGGATCAAACGTACTGCATTTTTAATTAGTTAAATAATAATTTAAGCGATTTTGTCAATTGTCAATAATTTCGCTTGACTTTCAAGGGCCATAAATCTCTAGAATAGGCCTACTGCTGCTTAGTAATGGATTTGGCATCCCTAAGTGCAAATTTGTACGCTGATTCGAACGATGGTATTTTTGTCCTTGTTGGGTCACTTGGTTTTGCAACAACGTATGATTTATTCACTACAAACTTGTTTCGTATGACAAGCAATGCTTGCCACACTCATCAGGTGAATTTAAATGTCGCGCTATGTTGTTGCCAAGGTTATATATACTATATACATGTTTGACGTAAACGGATGATCAAGTATTAAATTACGTATAGATTACATATATATACAGATTATATTAAGTAATGTATATTGCTTAAGAGAAATTTGTTTCTATGTCTGCATTTCGACAAAAGTTCACTTCTTGAATTTAAAGAACAAAGTTCAGGGTGGT